CCTGCTGAATTCCAGTTGTTTGGGGAACACAGCTGTATTTTATACATGTGTTTTAATTCAAGTATTTTTTTTTTTTTCCCCTCCCTTCCCACCTTCTTCTGTTTAAGTGAGAAGAAAAATGACGTAAGCACGATCCAGCCTTTGTGGCCAAGGGCAGGAGCAGCGGTAGGGCTGCCAGGAGGATGGCTTTGCCTGGAAGCTTACGGAGGCAGCCTGCAAACAGAGGCCTTGTGTCTCATTGCCCCCACTCCTGCTGACCTTCTTCAGGTAGGTTGAGTGTACCTCTGCACAGAGATGTGTTCATCTCGCTGAATTTGGGGAGGTGAGGGCATGTCCAAAGAAGGAGAATAAAGGTAGTGAAATAGTCTTAACTTTTGGCTGTGAGCCTTGAAAACAAACTTAAAAGCTGGTCGTACTAACCGGTCTGGGAGTCATGCAGGGGTGGAGCTAAGTGTGCTGTGCCCCTGGGGAATCCAACCACAAACAGGGCTTGCACCACAGGTGAGGCTGACTGTGCCAAGCCGGCAGCCGCCTGTTGCAGAAGGGTGAATGTGGGTGGGTGTGGGGAAGGACTAGCTGAAATGAGGAAGGAAGCAAACCCTGATGCTCAGAACTCTAATGCCTGTTCTGGCTGATGGAACATGCAGCTGTTGTTTCTAGGGTCCTCTTCTCTCCCGAAAGTGGCTGTTTGCAGAAGGTGGACAGGCCTCTAGAACAGAGAGGTCACTGCTTCAGATCTGAAGGTCTACTAGATTTGTTTGTTGAAAGCTTGTCTGTTATACCAGCTGACAACAGCTGGAATACCATACTGCCTCCCCTTACAAACTTTGCCATGCTGATATCCTTTGATCTTCACAGCAATACTGCCACTGATACCTAATCTGTCTCTGGAAGAGCACTTGTAATGGTGGTTAGCTAGATGAGTGCATCTTCTCTTTTGTCTTTATTGTTTGTTTGTTTGTTTTTTTTCCCCGAGGTACCTAATTGTTGTTGCACAGTCACCTTCTCTTTCGAAAACAAAGGAGGAAGTCCTTCCCAGTCAAGACCCTATTTCACAACTCCCCACTAAAATCCGTGTGTCTACCCATAATACCAGGGTTTCCTGTTGCTGTCTACTGTCTCCAAAGCTGCCAGTCCTCTGCTGTGCTGCCTGCTTAGACAGCATGTATCTATTTTGAGTCCCTACCCTTTCCCACTTGACCTCCAGAGAAGATTTGGCCAACCTGTGCTTGTGTGTTTTCTGGCAGTTACTCCCTGCTCCATGCTTCCAGAAAGACATTCAGTAATGTCAAAGTCAGCATTTCCAGCCAGTGGACTCCTGCCTGCCTGAACAGCACGGCCCCTGAGCTCCGGCCCTATGAGGTAAGGACACAAGGAATAGGCAAGCGCCAAGAAAGATGGGTAACTTCCAGTATGCTGAGCTTGTGGCGCCGAAGAGGCCCCTTTAGGTGTCCATCAGGGACACTTCTCAGAATGTGAGCGGGAACTTCAGGTGTCTGAACTGTAGTTTTCTGGATCATCAGGTGATGGTGAAATCTCTCCTAGTGATCCCCAGCGAGAAACTTCTCAAGAAGTTAGTGTTCCAATGGAAATAGGAACCCCAGGAGAGTCTCTGTAGCAGCCAGCAGCTTGGAGGTGGGGGAGGAGGGGGAAAGAGGACCCTGCCTCTGAAGTGTCGGAGGCAATAAATGAGAGCAGTTAATGGGCTTACAGAGATCTCTGTAAAACCCTGGCTGTGGCTTTCTTTTGTGGTGGTGCTTCTGCTTCCACCCTGTTAAAGGATGGCCAAAGTAGGAGAGAAGAAAGCTGTCTGAAAGTGCTAGCTGCTTATCCTAAATTGATACTGAAATAAGACATTTTATCTTATGTGTAAAAGGTCTGATTTCCAAAACTGCTGACCATCCAGTACCCCTTGTCTGTAAAATGCTAGCTTCAGTGAAAGCAGTGGGAGTTTTAGCAGTGTTTGCTCGCAGAAAAGCAAGTTGTATACTGCTTGCACCTCGCAAATGGGAATGCAAGAACTACCTCCTAGCTCCTACCCATAATCCTTTTACGGGTATGGTAAAAACATGCTTGTTTTTAGCAGTGGCTAACGTTTGACTGAGGGATGATAAACGCTGACTTTTTGTGATAAGTGAAAACAGTAAATTGGGCCTGTAATGTGTTCAGGATTTTATAGTATGGTAAAAAGGAGTGAGCATCTCAGGGATGCTAGAATGAACTACAGAGTGTTTATATTTAGTTCCTTAACTGACATTCAAACAACTAGTGTATTTTGGAAGCTGTTTTGATTTTTCTTATATAGATGATCTAGTGTTTGATGGATGTTGAGGTGAATGTGTCTGATCAAGCAAAATGGTCAAAATGGTCCTTTTGGTATCAATTTAGATTACGTCAGTTAAAAGTAAAGTGCGTTTTGGGAAATTGATAGATTAAGGACATGAACAGAGAAATCACATGCTATCAATGTGGAACTTTGGTATATCTTTTTAACTACAGTTGTTCTTTATTTTTATACACTTAAAAATATTTCTTAAAGTATAACAATGTTTTGCAATTGTTTTGTGAGTAGGCGCTAGTATGATTTTATTAGAAGGACAACTTAGATCTATACTTTTCAGCCTTCAAAGATTTGCGAGTTCTGCAGAGATTGTTTAATGAATTTAAGCCTAATGACAAAAGATTTCGATCTTTTATCTTTCTAAGACTCTTAATAGCTTGTGCACCTCCAGACGTCTTTGGTTAAAAGTTGAAAGCTACTAGTGTGAGTAGGTATTGGTGGCCTCAAGTGGCAAAAAGTATTTTTCAAGGGATTTATTAGTTTTCTTGGACACATGAGACTTAAGCAGAAGTTGTGTCAATAGGCCTTACCAATGTTACATCTCTTAAACTAAGTGGATGTGTAATTAATGTTGTCTGTACAGGATCTTCTCCTGAAGAGGCAGAATCAAACTAAAACTGATGATATTTGAGTTAGGCACATCCATAGGTCAAGTTTGGATTGGGTTTATTTGTTTGTTTTCTAATGGGGGCATGGCAGGGAGGGAAGAAAACTTTGTCCTGAATAACTTTATTTGTTCTTCAAGTTATCCTCAAAGCTTGCTGTTTTCAGCTGATGTCACTAATCTTACTTTGGGGACAACTGAGTCTTTTTCCCTTTTTTTTGATCACATTGAAAGTAAAATGAAACTCGGGATAAGCACAAAAGAAATAACAACATTAGTGACTGGAGTTTATTGTAAATAGTTTCCAGCCAGACTATTTCTTCCCCTTGTTCCTTTTGTGTTCTTTCTTTTCTGTTTGTGGTCTGTCATTTCTTATTATGGTTGCTGCTACAAATATTTTAAAGGAATTATTCATTTAGTGAAGACAGCAAGATAAGTACAGGTGAGATACTGCACATAAAATAGAATATGCCTCTATTGTATAATTCATTAAGATGCTCATCAGCGTTTCTGTGTAAGAAGCTGTCTAACAGTTGCATGCTTGTTAGAAGCAGGGTTTGTTTTGCCAGTCATTTTTCTTGATCAAGGTGGAACGAGCATTTCTCACTTCTGGTTTGGTAGCTTGACCTTTAGAAGTGAAGCGAAGTGGCAGTGGACATTTTCTGCAGTAGATAATGCCAGAATTGTTCTTGATTTGATAATTAAAGTGTTGGAGGAACAGGAGGTTGCTGGGGCCAGATGCTGTTCTGCTTTGGAGTTGGGGTTTCCATCGAAAAAGAGTAGAATGAGCTATGCCTCTCCCTGTTTACCTGTTAAAATTTTCTCTCTGTAGCTCTGGAACAGCAGCCATTTATTTCCAAATGCAGAAGAAGCAACTCTCTTCTTGGGGACATTGGACACTATCTTTTTGTTTTCCTATGCTATGGTGAGTAAAATTAACCCAAAGCTGCTAAGCTTTGGTTGAATCTTATTGGGGTGATCATACCCACATTTGGAGGGGATGAACAGGATCTTCTTCTTGGACTTGCCTAGCACTAATGCAGTTAAAAAGCTTAGTTCAGGATCAGATTTTTTTTTCCTTCAATTTCTGTTAGTTCTGCCCATGCCTGTCACCCATGTGAAGATGCTTGTTAACAAATGCAAGAGAAATACTATCACTTCAGAATTTCTCACACCCCTATCACCAGTGGGTGGGAGGGCTAGTTCTATCTCTCCAAGAGTTCACAGCTGAATTTTTTAAAACCAATAAATTTAATGAACAACTATGAGCAGGGTTTCTTTGGTGGTGGAAGAGGTGGTTAGAATGGAACTGTAAGATGGTATAACAACAACGTTTGGATCAGCTTGACCCTTCTACATCATTTTAATTCTTGCAGGTAACAGATGCAAATCTTGTGGCTTTATTTAATGCTGTGTTTTGTTCTTAGGGTCTTTTTGTCAGTGGCATAGTTGGGGATCGCCTGAATTTACGCTGGGTTTTGTCTTTTGGCATGTGTTCCTCTGCTCTGGTGGTAAGTTGGAACATACTAGTGTGATTTCTAAATCTCTCTTAGGGTTTCTGGATAGGGTTTTACTTTAGGGGAGAAGAGGCTCTGTTTCTGTGTGAATCTGCCCATGAGCTGTAGCTGTACCTCAGTGGTCTCAAAGGCTGCGTGTAGAACTTTGTCCTGGATGCACTTATTGCATTGTCTAAAGCACAGAGCTACGCTAGATGACTCGCCTCTTCCTGAAATATCTATTTATGGATACTGTGTCAGAAGGAAATTCCTAAGTTTGAGGCACTATCTAGAGACTTGGTCAACAGCTTTTGTACAAGATTGGTGTATTTGTTTTGTATTATAACTGTTCTCCCAGCCCACATATGTTGTCATCAAGGCTTTTCCTTCCAAGTGCAATCTTTGTTCTCTGCTTTAAAGGATATGCTAACAATAGTAAGCATTCATTTACTTATTTTGTAATTTCTGGGAGGGTATGTGTCAAAAAAGAATGTCCACTTAAAACAAAAGGGTTCTTCAGGTTCAAGCCACTGCAGATACGTGTGAATCAGTTTTATCTCATTGTGGTTTTCTGGTTATTAAAGTAGTGGTAAAATGTGTGCAGTGCTTTTGATTTACCCAGTGGCTACAAACCCCACTATGGCCTATTGCATTCTGCAAACACATGACCACAGACATGCATCAAGCACTGTGTGCCACAAAGTGTGTTTATTTTGGCTAGTTTGGGTTAGGGCTCTTAGTAATTTGAGACCTGGCTGTAGAATTTATGTTAAATTTTGCTAAGATAAATGACTGCTGAGGGTTTTGTGTTTGCATAGAGCCTTGTGGATTCAGATGTCAGTACAATAGCAGATCAAGAGGCTACTGTATTTTTAGCGTTGTTACTGAAAGTGTTTGTCTCTTTCTTTTCCTCTCCTGTTATAACAGTGCTATTTACAAAGATAAAAGTCTTTTGGAGTGGAAGTGCCATGACAGCACATTTGTCACTGGAGTTGTTTGGGCTCTGGAGTCAGTGCTGTGGTGGCTCAGCAGAGGGTGCTGTTAGCTCTGAGCCGTTTCTTAAACAATGCCAGGCTTGCCTCTGGCCTGGCCCCTGTGGGGGACCTTCTCCCTGAAATGTTATTTGTTAGGACCCCACTCCTGCCTGGCTTTCAGCAGTAGTCTCAGGGTTTCTTCTCTGGTTTTGTTTTGGTTTTTTGTGTGTGGTTTTGTTTTGTTTTGTTTTCCTTCTTCTCTAGGTATTCATCTTTGGCACACTCACAGAATGGTTGCATTTCTACAACAAGTGGTTCTACTGCTGTCTCTGGGTTGTGAACGGCTTGCTGCAGTCTACTGGTTGGCCCTGTGTGGTTGCTGTCATGGGCAATTGGTTTGGAAAAGCTGGGTAAGTTGAGTTTTCTTCAGTGACTCATCTGACCTCAAACCAAAAAGGCCAACTGTTAGGTCAGAATTGGAGTTAAAGCTATGTGGGATGAAATATGCCTTACTTGTTACTATTATCTCTTTTTAATTTTTTTCTGGAGCCACAGAACAGCTTGGTGTGAACACAATTATATGTGTTAAAGGCACAGGTTCAAAATTCAAAAGTCCTATAGTGCAGAGTGCCTGAATTTGAATTTTCATGCCACTGGAAAACCTGTTTCTGTCTACTTACCACTGAAGAGACCAAATGGAAACTGACTCGTATGTTCAACTCTGTCACTTTGGGGTATTGCAGATGAGCTCTAGCCATAGCTTGTAACCCTCTTGTTGCCAGCTCACCTCTACTATAACACAGATGTTTCAGGATAGAACATTCCTCACTTATCTATTTGGTACCCTCAAGTTATTCTGTGTTTTAAGTGACCTTTGAGTCTCTTTGAAGTGGACTGGGAGAATGCTGTAACTTTATTCATGTTAAAGTTCACTCAAATGTTACATTTTTTTCTTGCTCCTAATGTCACCTCTCCCCACATTGCCTTTTTAAAATTTTCTTCCCCTTCTGCAGGAGAGGTTTTGTGTTTGGACTCTGGAGTGCCTGTGCATCTGTGGGAAATATCCTCGGGGCATTCCTTGCCTCCTGTGTTCTCAAATACGGCTATGAGGTAGGTATTGCTGTCTGGCTTCTAGCTAGGACTGCATGTCTGATTGGGTTATGAGAACCTAGTTTCTTTTCCTCTCTCTGAGAGACAACAGGCTCAGAGTGTCCAGTTTCATTTTCCTGAATTCTGTGGTAGCAAGCAGTAGGCAGAATAGAAAGGGTATTCCTTTCCTGACCCTTCCAAGCTGGGAGAAATGAGCCTGAGACTTCTCTGTAAATGGGACTGATGTTATTGAAGAGCCCTGGCGTCATAGTATACCCTCTTCTGATTTGGGTGGCTTCAAGTGCTCTTGAGTCATCCGTCACAGGTTCTCACTTAACCGAAGTCACTGCTGCTGAATAGTCGTGAGGTTCTGACAAGCATGGAGGCATAGCTTCTGTAGCTGGGCAGAGGCCAGGCAGATGCTACATTGCTGTAATGCTGCAGGCAAGCAATTGAATACAGGGAATGTAAATGAACCAGTGCATCTTGTAGCGTGTGACCTCTGAGGACAGGCTAACAGAGCTGAGCTTGTCACTCTGGAGATGAGGAGGCTTAGGGTACCAAATAGCAGCCTTCCAAAGCCTGTGAGAAGATTGCTGAGAAATCGGAGCCAGACTCCTTCCTGGGTTGCACAGTGAGAGCGCTAAAAAGCAGTGGGTATAAAGTGAAACAGGGATGGTTCCAACTGGATGGTTGGAAAACAATTTCACTGTGAAGTTAGGTAAGCATTGGAACAGGGGGGCAGAGCCGGGAGGATCTGTCTTTGGAGGATTTCAAGACCTGATTGAACAAAGCCCTGAGCAACCTGGTCTGAATTTGGTGTTCGACCCTTCTTTGAGTCCCTTCCAGTATAGCTGGATCTGTGGTTGTGTTGGGTGAGCTCCTGTCTCACTGCTGTCACCTCAGTACACTAAACCAGCTGTTTCAATGTGGTCTTTCAGCCTAGATAGAACCGAGTCTGTTCAGGAGATGGAGATCACTTGTTTCTAAGTTTTATGGATGTAGTCTGGGTTGTCGTAGCTGTGTTTACTCTCCGACAAGGCTGGAATGTAAAGAAACCCTCATTAGTCAGGGAAGCCTGTGTAACTGAAAGTGTTTTAAAAAATAATCTTGTATTTATTTGTCTTCAGTATGCTTTCTTGGTGACTGCCTCGGTACAGTTTGCAGGAGGAGTCATTGTCTTCTTTGGGCTCCTGACATCGCCAAAGGAAGTGGGTAAGTAGAAGAGGGCTGTAGCATTTCAGTCCCTTCATGGAAAGCAGATCTGCAGCTTTCCTTGTAGTAGTAAAAGTACTGCTCGTTCTGACAGCACTTATCTTCAGGGCTGTTATAAAATGGTGTTGCACTTTAGTGTATTTAATGGAGCAAATGCTTTACTCACCAAGATCACACTAAATGCCACTGTGCATCGTGTGTATAGGGTCTGGATGTTTTAAAAAGCAAAATAAACCAGCCTGGCACTAACATCTCTCCATTAGGATGTGCCTAATTATCAGTTTTTCCTCACCTGGAAAATCAGTATTTTTTTAAAGAAACAGTAGGCAAACTGATAACTGGCTGTTGTAGGAGAAAACTATGGCAAGCCTTAACTGTGCAGGGGGAAGGGAAAGTCCTTTTCATCTGCGGGTCTCCCGCAGCCAGTTAAATAGCTCTCAGGTTGGATATGGTCCTTCTCTGAGAAGATGGTAGGCAAGCCAAAGTGTAACAGGAAAACAAAGAACTTCTGGGCTTTGACAGGGCCATGGAGGAGGTTTTCCAGGTGCCTGCAAAGGCCATAAAGTTGGTAGCACTAAAGCTACCATAAAGAGCGCTTGTAAGAGCACTCAGCAGCCCAGAAAGCGCAGCGCCAGGTCCGAGGATCCCAACCACTAAATAAGGGGGGAAATGCACTAATTTGTTGTGTCTTCCAACTAATGGCCAGACACTCAGAACAGACAAAGCCGACGCCAAGATCAGACAGAATACTTTCAAGAGCGCTAGAAGACAAAGGGTAGAAACTGGCGACACTGCAGAACACCATCTAGAAGAGTTTCTAAGCCAAAGGAGGATGGAGGTATGGGAGAGCAAGGAAATTGCTAGAAGGGAGAATTGCTTAAAAGAAGCGAGCATAGCTTTAGAGTGGGGAGAGGGTGAACAGGCTGTGGTCCGTTTTTCCTGTTGCATATGCCTTGTAAAAACTTAGGCCTCCCTGAGCTTGGAGCAGATGAAGACGGCAGTGTGGAGGAAGATGCCAACAGACCTTTAATGGGCGGTGATGATGCAGATGATGATGACCGGAATTACTCTATTCAAGCAACTGACACTGACAACCAGCCAAAGGCCATTGGCTTTTTCCAGGCTTGTTGCCTTCCGGGTGTAGTACTGGTGAGGACACAGATTCCTGAATGAGATCTGACTTATGTTGTTAAGCATAAAGCTGACTTTTTGTGTTGTCAGCATTTGTTGACATCATTGTTAATACGTTGACCATGTGTTGTAGTTGTTGACATCTGACTTCTTACACTGTTAAAACCTTGGGGCTGGGACTGTTGTCCTTGTGCGCATGGATTATAACACTGTCCGGGTACGTGGTTGCATGTTGCTCTTCGCATTGGACTCCTGCTTCATTTAGTGCATGTAATGAGCCAACTAAGGGAAGGAGAGATCATGCCCTTTTTGTTGCCAAATTTAGAAGGGAGGCCATCAGCAAAGGTGGCTTTCTGTAGGATGCTTTCTTGGCTATGCTTTCTAGCTATGCTGCCCTGAGGAATAGGATTCTTGCTGCTAGTTGAGCATCACGTAGAACTCTGTGGCACCGATATTGGGGTTTGGGTTTTTTTAGTTGCCTTAAAGCAGAAAGCTGGCCTGAAAAGCCTTAATCAGCATGATGTAACATGTGGCAAAGTAGGCGTGTTTTTTATAAACAGTAGTATAAACAGTAATACAGTGTGAACTGTCTGGATTTGATCATGAAGCAGAACTACTGAATGGACAGTATTGTCAGATACCCTTAATGAGTAAAGCGGTTGGTTGTTTTGATTAAGGCAACATGAAATCTAGAAGGGATGAGTGGATTGTCAGTGTTTAGAGTGCTGGACAACCACAGTTCTGTTGTAAAGACCTTGGTTGAGGAATGGCAAAAGAAAGCATACCCATCTTGAGTTCTTTCCTAACATGGCTAAATGCCATATAAACTATGGCTCGGTTTTGGTGGTGCTAAGAATGGGCTGATGTACAAAGAACCTTTAGGCAAAATTTCTTACTGGTGGAGGCTGCCCGAGTGGATGTGTGACTTTTTTTCATTGGCCAGAACATAAAGAAGTACTATGCAACTGATGTTGCTGTTTCTGTACTTGGTATTTTGAGGACGTGTTCTGTGCATTAACCCAGCAACATGAACACCTCTGAGTCTGTGAGTTCTATCTGATGTCAGATCAGTGCCCAGCCAAACCAGGACACTGTGTCAGATCAGTGAGAGACCAAATACCGAGAGAACCTCCAAAGCCTTGTCAAGATTCTACAAAGACTTTATTTGACATATTTTTTCTGTAGTTCCTCTCTTCGCCTGCTGAGCGATATGGTGGAAGAGTTTTAGTACAGACAGCTTTCCCCTGAGCCTCTAGAAATTCAATGTTTAATCACTCAGACAATCTGGTAGACAGTTTCTAAGCATGTTGTAATAAATATTGCTTCGTACAGTGCACTTTTCACACCCAGAGGCAGGAGAACTCTACTAAGCATCTTATGTCTTACCTTACATGTCTTACATGTATGGTTGAGATTAGTTTGTGTCCTGTAAGAGTGAAAACGCATTAATAATACAGCTAAAAAGGATGTCTCTATTAAAATAATACAAATTCAGAAGAGAAGATTTTGTGGAGTTTAATATATAAAAAGATCTGCTTTTTGAAATTCAAAGACAAGTATATACCTACACATATACATACAGGCTCAAAAGCTGTGATTCTAACAGGTTGTTTTTTGTGCCATCATCCTTGTTTACCTCTTCAAATACGGGTTCCTTGGACTGCCGTGTCAGTGTTTATCAGGAGGCCTTACTGAAGCAGTGTGCCTCGTCCCTCTGTGTGCTGGGCCAGCAATCCCAGAGAACAAATCTTTTCCACACACGTGAAAGCTCTAAAGGAGATCTGCTAGCTAAGGAGAACTTGAGCCCAGCAGCCAAAAGCAGGAGGTTGTCTCGGCTGTTGGGTTTGGAAGCATGTGCTTAGCTTTGGCCAAATCTTTCGTCTTGTGCCCTGGAATACCTGCCTGGGGATTATGAACGAAGCTTTCTCTTCTAGTGCTGTAAGCAGATGAGCCTTCTGAGCAGGAAAAGATAGCACAGAGGAACTACTTCACATAACTCTTCTCAGCATAATGCACAGATGACTAAATCTCAAGCTTGTTTCATGTCATATGGTTGGCTCCCTTCTCTTCAGAAGGTGAATTAAATTTCCTTTGTTTTTTGAAGCCTGGTGTCATTTCCTCTCAAGATTACACTGAAAGTGTTTTAACCCGTTGCATTCAGTGAAAAGAAAATAACCTTCTTGACAGTGATTTTTGTATTCCTGGGTTCCCTTTCATGTTCATCATTAAGCTTTCATAGTGGTGCCTTCTTAGGTGAAATGCAGAAGCACTTCCCCCTGAAAGATTTAGCTGGATACAGAGCTTTATGGGAAGAAGCAGAAATGCTGTCTGCATTTCTTAAGTACTAACTGCTTGCTGGCCCTCTCTTTGTTCCAGTACTCTTTGGCCTATGCCTGCTTGAAACTGGTGAATTACTCATTCTTCTTCTGGCTGCCCTTCTACCTCAGCAACAACTTTGGATGGAAAGAAGCAGAAGCTGACCAGCTCTCAATCTGGTATGATGTGGGAGGAATCATAGGTGAGTGAGCAAGTGAATGACATCTTCCTGCAGTTGCCCTTGAAAACGAAAGACAGCGAATGCAGCTCAGAGCAGTCCTGTTCCATGTGGAACAGCTGTTTAGCTGTTTACTGAATATATGAAAAGTCTAGTTTTTTATGTGGCTGCTTGGCTTTTTTTTTTTTTCTTTTCCTAAAGCACACAGTATGTGAGCCCCCTAAAGAGTTTACATATAATTTAAAGGGCACTATCGTATTCTTGGACATTACCCCCAGCAGGCATTTTTCTTTACTCACTAGGACTTCTTGAAAAGTGCCATGTACAAAATGGTGTCCCTGCTGCTTGCTACTTCCTTTCTGACTGGTACCCTTGAGGGAGAGTTTAGATCTGGACTTACTGGGTTCTGTACTGTCCCTTCTGTCCTGTATTTTTAAGAACAGACTCAGCGCAGATCTCAGCAGAGCAGGCACAACTGTGTTATGTTCAGAAATAAAATGTAATTGCACTTGTTTCTGCTGGCTGCAAAATCTGACCCTGTTCCTCCAGAATAAAGAACATATTGTATGTGTGTTTAGACTTCCACTCTCCTGTGCTCAGTTTCTTGCTTTATTACCTTGTCCAGTTAGCTTTCCTAGAATAGACATCCTTGTTTTGGACTGTTCAGGGTCAGTTTTTTTGCCTCTGTGGCCTTTTCTGTGTTAGGCTTTCTCAACATTCTAGTGTTTACCAGCAGAGCAGTTCCTACAGAGGTAGCAATGATACATAAGGTGATTTTTAGCAGCTATTGGCATTTGTTGCAATTAGTTGCACCTACCCTAAGCAGGGGAGAGAGCAGGGAATGTGAGGCCCCTGTGGGCTAATGCTTTCCCTGTGAAAAAGAACTGCCTTTTCCTGCACTTTCTGTTAAAGAAACCAGCCACAATGTTAAGCTTGCTTACATCCAGAGTTGTGGTGATCCTAGAGCTGTGATGGCCCTATAGGGCAAGGAAAAGGAAAGCAGGAGCATTGGCTAGTTGCGTGCCAGAAAAAAACGAAGTAATAAATTCTTGGGAAAGCAGTATGAGTAATTTTCCCTGCGCTATCTGAGCCGCTTAAGCTTACTGTTGTCTCTGTGTCTGGGGCAGTAAGGAGACTTCAGTTTTCAGGATTTTAGAGAAAATGTGTATTGATGAGAAGGCAAGAGGCCACTGCACTCAGTGAAATGAGTTTTGTTCAAGGTGAGCATCACCATCCTGAGCCTGATGATGATTTATTTTTTGCAGGTGGGACTATCCAGGGCTTGATTTCTGATGTGCTACAGAAGAGAGCCCCAGTGCTAGCAATTAGCCTGCTCTGTGCTGTAGGCTCTCTTTTTGGATACAGCCGTGAGTATGCTTTTGCTGCACAGCAGTAAGAGGTTCATTTGGTACTTCTTGGAGAGAACCAGAGCACAGCCTGTTCTAATTATGCTTTCTGGTCTTAAAACTGCTTCTGGATCAGGATGGTGCCTTTTAATCTATTTTGCCTCAAGTGTGGCACTGCACAGAAATAAATCTGTTCTCTGGTTAATGAGGTGGAAAAGAATTAGCTGAGTGGTTGAATTTTCCTGTCCTGGTGAGTTATGGTACTGATCCTTTTTCAGTGTCAATGAGATTTTTGGCATTGTCATTGTATCAACACCACAACTGGCAGAGTAGGAAATCTCAGGTGCATCCCTCTAGTAAGAGGAAAGAGAACCTGGGGACAGGTCTGTGCTGGAGTATATATACATTACAAAGATGGCAGAAGCTCTTGGACTTCACCACTTACGCTTCTCTAAGTGGCAAAATTGAAGAGTTTCTGCCTCTTTTATAATAGATATAGTTCTTGGTGATTGGTTATTGAAAGGAGTCTGTCAGGGAAACTGAGTAGGAGACAGGCAGATCTCACTTCTGTGAAACATCTATGAAGCTCTTCTAAGTGTTACAGTTTTGTTTCTTCAGACATGGTGTCCTGTGGTACCAGAGTGCTTTTACTCACTGGGATGTCATTTCACTTCTCTGTGTCTTCCTCCAAAATGGGGTGGCGATACAGACTGGCTTTTATAGAGCACTTTGAGATCTGCGGACAGAAATCGCTGCCAGAGCTGGATGCGAACAGCAAAGCGTGCCTTTCAGAAGCATGCTGGCTTACTCAGACTGTCTCAAAGTAAGGTCAATAAGGTATAACCATTAAATAGCAAGGATTTGGTTTGGTGGAGTTCAGTGGAGTTTTGTAGGCTCTTCTGCTAACTCATTACTTTCAAAAGTGAATTGGAAGCACATGTAAAATTATTGCTGACAAAGTTTGAAGTTTGTTCTAGGTAGCAGAGCAGCCAGAGGTCCAAGTGTCTTGTGCTTAGCTCTGTCCAGCCAGATGCAGAGGGCTCAGACAGGTGATACAAAGTTATTGCAGTGTGATAATTAAATTGCCATTAGCCAAACCAGGAAACCTTTTCAGGGTCATCACATGTTGCACATAAGAGTAATAATGGCCTGAGAATATGTGAAGAGGGCTGCAACTTGTCTTATGCATTGTAACTTGACCATGTCTGGGCCCTAAATTGAAGCAGTTAGTAAGGAATTCAGGTGATGCCTGGAAGTGAGGTATTGGGGAAAACAGTGTCTGAAAAGCACTGAGAGACTGCAGTGGAAAACCAGTTGTACGTACACAGTATGATGCTGTTCCTGGAAAGACAAGCAGAACCTGTAGATACCCGAGCATGGCTTTGTAAGGGGGAGTGAGGATATGGGGTTTTGCATTTTTTTGCTTTATTGTTGCAGCATTGTTTAGGCAGTTGCTCGATTACTACTTCCAGATCTACTCTCTGTATTTTAAAAAAGATTTTGGAAGATTCAGAACGAGTGGAAGGGCGATTCAAGTGCTGAATACTTTATGGTGGGAGAGATCAAGTTGAGTCTTAATGTTCCCAGAGAGACAGAGGGAGGATTCTCTTACTAGAGGAGGGTAAATGCAAGCTCTGTGGCATAGAAAGAGGCATAACAAGGGCTGGAACCCAGAGCCGGGCAAATCTGATATCAAAATAGGGCACAAAATTTTAATGGCAAAGGTGACTTTTCTACTGTCGGGAAACTTCTGGATCTTTAGTCTCTAAATGCCTTTGCAGTAAGACTAATCTCTGTAAAAGTCTCTAGTCAAATAGAAGTTATTGTTGTCACTATGTAGCTAATTGAACAGGCAGTTTAAACTGGATGTTTGCATGCTTCTTTCTGAGCCTAAATAAGTGGCTTTCTCAAGTTCATCTGTTTTGTTTACACTCATCTGGTCTTTCTCTTTCAGGTTCTCCAAACAGCAAACCTATCAATGCTGTGATCATGACAATTACAGGTAACTTATCAAATGCCACTTTTATGCTAGTAGACATACATATATATATATATATAGCAGAAAAATCTAGTAACACTGGCCTCAGGTGGTGGTAATGCATTTGTGTGTGCTGCCACCTCTGCTGGTTTTGCAGAAAGAGTAAAAGCCGGGGCCCAATTTTTGTTACTTTTGGAATACAGCTGTAGGAAAACTGCCTTACAGAGGTGGGTATAGAATATAGACTGTATAGAATAATGGCTTGGAACTAAAGGGGTCTGCCTTGGCTCAGTATGATGAGGATGGATTTATGCCAAAATACCTAGCAGTGATCTGGTATCTGAGGAGGCGTATATACGGCAAAGTCATGAGCTGCAGCTCAGATGTGAGGGTGTTTGTCTGTCAGAACCCCAAATGCCCAGTGTACTTTGAGAGGTCGCAAGCTTTGTGTGCTACCAGACATACTATGCTGTGTTATGGAATTAAGATTAGCCTACATGAATAGAGCCTTTCTTTTCAAACACTCCTACTTCAGAACTCTGTCCTGTTGCATTTTTTTCCCCCTCCATCTCCTTCACCAGTCCCTGGAGACTGAGGCAGTAGCATGGGGGTATACTACTCCAAAGTAGAAATGTGTCTAAATCTGCTTCGTGTTGAGGGTTTGTATATGCGTGCTGTTCAGAAGTAGCTTTCTGTATTCAGTTTGGTGTGTCCTGATTCTTCTTGCAGAGTGTGCCACAGCTAATTACCTCAGTTTTGCTGTTGGATGAAAATGTGCTTGTTGGCAATTTCTGTGTGCGTACTCCAAGTACACAAGGTGTGCCATGACCGTATGCTTCAGCTGTGAGGGTACACTTCTACCTACAATTAGTCTGTGATCACTGTCCCTAGACTTCATCCTTTTCCTGAGCTTTGCATGGTAGAAAAATCTGTATTTTGAAGATGTTCTGTTGAGCATCTGTCCTCATGCTTGTTTTGCACCAAGGCTGTTTTCTTGGTACTTCCAGGATTTTTCATCGGAGGCCCTTCTAACATGATCAGTTCTGCAATTTCTGCTGACCTGGGGCGCCAGGATCTGGTGAAAGGCAGCAGCGAGGCTCTGGCAACAGTCACGGGAATTGTGGATGGAACTGGCAGTGTTGGTGCTGCAGTGGGCCAGGTGAGGCTACCAAAGGAAAACAGAGGTCTGGGGAAGGAGGCAGAGTCTGTTGTGGTTAGAGATGTTAGCTCATTCCTCAATCCAAAGTTGCATGGAGAGAGAGAGAGAAAGAGAGGGCTGGGGATTTTTAAAAATTATTTCTTTATTTAAGAAACAACCAAGGGAACATATGTGTGTTAAGCTTCCAGTGGAAGCAATTTAATTAAGAACTAAACTAAGTATTCATAGTGCTAGTGTTACGGCACTTTCATAATTCAAATGAATTTTAGACACTTTCATATCCTGAACTCCAAAAAGCAAGGAAAGGTCAGCTTCACAAAGAGTGAAAATACAATATTTTGAAGTTTGTTTGGGATTTTTTGTTCAAAGGTAGTAGCAAAACCATTGCTTACAGAAAAGTTTACCTGTGTAACTGAGTAAAATTCAAATACCTATTATGAATGTTACGGGGTTTATACAGTAATTTAAAATTTGCTCTTATTTGTGGTTCCCCTTTCTATCTATGGATGTCTTTTACACCTTGTAAATCCAGCACCACTTGCTTTGATAGTCCATGCAGTATGCTGCCAGAGGTCTGAAGACTAGGCTGTTGCAGAAAAAGAAGCTGACAGTGTGCCCACTGGGGACATTCTTTCTTCTCAAATACAAGTGTTAGCTATGTGGAAGAATACAGTGGCGCTTTGGGGAGGATTTAGTAGAAAGATTGGAGCCAGTTGTATTCCAGGCATCCTCTAGTGCTGGTAAAATACCAAGGATGCCGGCAAGGCATACAAGTTTCCTCTTTGGAAAGGGATTTGGGTTTGTGCTTGCCATTGATTGCTTGATAAATACAATCATTCAGTCTCTATTTCATAGGAAAGATGCTGCTTAGCTCCATTAAACGTGGAAAATTACAAGTGCTTTGTGGACATCTTAAAGTGCACTGTTACACTCACTGTTCTTCTTGCATTGTCTGCAGTGTTTCTGTCTTCCCCCACACATACCATTCAAACTTACGTCATCATAAAAATTGGGTCTTTAGTTCTGAAAAATTCCACCTGCCTCCTATTCTAACATTGAACTTATTTCAACAGAGACAACCATGATGTCATTCTGGGGGTGTGTGAATAACAGCAAATGCACAATGAACATGTTAGAAATTCAGATCCTGTTTTGTGCTAATATACCCAGTAATGAAGAAGGGAGGCCCTTGTACACCATCTGAATATAAATCTGCGAATAGGGAATACATTTTCTTTTGTAGCCTATGTAGTCCTATTGAACCAGGATGAAGTTCAGAACAGACTGTAGTCTCAAGTGTCTTGCCAACGATGAAGGGTTAAGTAGTTAGTGGTTGCACAGCTCTTGAAAATGCGTCCTGTGTAATTTATAAGCCATTCTAGAGCTTTTAGTTCTTCTGAGAGTACTTACATCCACTTATGTCCCAGTGTTCTATGCAAAAACCTTGTATTCAGCGGAGTCAATTTGTCACCCTTTGAAACTGTAGTTCAGTTCTGTCCTTATGCTGCTATGAGTTACTGTAAAGCTTCAGGATGGTATCTCCGCTTTGCTGAGGCTGTGGGGTTTGTACAGAAAGGCTGCTGTCCTGAGTCATCTCTTCTGACAGGAGATGATCAGCTGGAAGGTTTTGTGATTAGCTCTGTACGGAGTGTTAACAGCCCACAAATTCTAGAAAATGAAAGAGTAATGGCTGAAAGTCATGCATATCTTCCCAGTTTGAATAATTTTTTCTTCGCCTTCCTTTCTAGTACCTAGTGTCTTTGATCCAGGAGAACCTGGGATGGATGTGGGTGTTCTATTTCTTTATTCTAATGGTAAGAAATCTCCTTTTTAAAAATTCTTTGTCAAAGTTCAATTTGCAATAGAAACTTTTTGTGAGAACCTGAAAATTGTGACTTAGACATGCAATCTATTTCTGCAGCCGCTGCAAACTCTGATGCCATTCTCAAAGTGGTCTATGGTGTCCCTTTGCCTCAGGCTGTCTAAATCAACTGGGTTCATTTTGGATCCTTTAAAGTCACATTGGCCAACAGGAACTGAGGTTGTGGCATAGGCACAGAAATACTTGTCTAAAAATACCTGTATGTATTTCCTAAAGCTCATGCCACCCGACTGACTTCCAAGGCAGGACTTTTTCCTCCTTCATCTCCATGATAGGTAGTTCTTAATATTTTCATGGAGCTGAAGTTAAGCTGCTTGTTTGTTAGCCCTTGTAGATTAGTGGAAGGAGTGATGAGGATCTTGAAACTAACGTGAAAATGCCTTGCCCTGATATACCACTAGGGGAGAAGCCCCTTCAGGCCCTGATCTCAGCATTGCCACAGTGGTGAATGCTGTACAATTCACCTGTTCTTCCTTGCTGGAAGTGCCGGGAATTGTCTTTGCATCTGTGCTGACAAACTTTGGTAAGCAGCAGAGGTGGCCAGGAGGAAGGCCTGCAAGGTCAGTCCTTCCATCTGCTGTGCCACTTTGTCATTGCTTCTCTTAGCCTGTATCTTTCTGGGGAGGCCTTGAATGCACGTTGGAGCGCAGGATGGCTGTAGCTACGGTTGTTCTGTGCTAATTGTCCTGGATATGCTTCTTTTCACAGACAAGTTCAACAATCCTGTTCATTTCACCATTAATAGTGAGGGAGATCAAATTGCTTCTGCATGAGCGGCACCTGCGAATGCTGGCTGAGTGACTGCTGCTTGCCTCTGGAAGGACTGTTGTACAGACACTAATCAAAACTCTGGGAGACTTGTTTCTTACATCCTCTGGGTTTGGACTAATTCAAAATGGCTCTGCAAGACTTGATTGACTTGCCTTTGCGAGCTCAGTGGTGAAGTACGAAATGCCCGTCTTGAGACCACTCACATCATGGAGCTGCTGACCTAAGCTAGACAATCCACGGGACTGGCGGATCATCCCGGCCTACCAGATTCTTCCATGTCAGCAGTCACACTAGGGTCTCCTGTTGGGTGGTCTCACTGCTATACCCTTTCTTATTTATTTCTGGATGTCCTGACCAAAGGTCGACTGTTTAAAACTGACGGTGGAGAGGCTGTCTTGCAATGAATTTGAATGCTCTGTTGTGCCGGTGAAATCATACAGCGCATTTAATGGGTAGCCTAAATTTACGATCACTGTAGCTTTTAGAAAGGGTAAAAATAATTATCTGGAATTTGCGCTGTCCAGTTGTTTGAAAAATGCCGTTGCTAAATCTCTGCACAGATGGGCCTCTGCTATCCCTAGCTATTAACTGTCACATATTCCAGTAGATTCACATGGAGAAGTTACCTCCAGATTTGTTTTTAGCATTTTTTAATAATAATAATATTACTGATCTCTGGGAAATGAGATTTCCGTTTTTAACTATTTAAGCAGACAAATAGTGTGCAATACTTTACTGTGATCTCTGAGAATAAGCCTTAATAGATCCTTTGTGTCTAAAGGATCCTTGAACGGCTTTGGGGATCAGTAATGGGACACAAATGCTTTCACTACTGCTTTGTTATTTGAACTCTGATCAATACTGACCAAAAAGGGACTGACTGTCAGGTGACCTCTGAAGAAAGCGGGTGTCACGGATTTCATACTCATTGGGCAATTGCTCATCTCCAGCAAAGAGAACCAGAATGGAATTAAAGGAATTCAGGGGACCTGGCTGCTCTCGGACGTGGGCTTCCAGAGAGGGACTGAAGCGTAGTCATGGAATGGCATCAGTGAGCAAGTGCTGCTGTCTTCCCCCGCGCTCCTCTGCCTATGGCTGCGTAGGGGACCTCAAGCTCCAGGGTTTTAAAGCTTGAGTTGTGTCTTGAAGAGAAGGGTAGATGCAAGACAGCACTAAAAACATGTGACTGCGCTTACTGTGGTGGTATTTGAGTATTTTGCAGTACTGCAGTAAGCAGGGTGACCGACTGACACCTCTAACGTTTGTTGGTGATGGTAATGGGATCGTTGAGGAACTTCTCAACAAATTGTTTTCTGCTTATGCCTTGGGATGTTTCATTGTAATAGGTATGTGTTAACCAGCAGAACTTCTGATCAAATACTCAATCTAACTAGGCAGCGATGCCTGGATGGGGGCGGGGGGCAGCAAAATTCTTGGCGCTGAAAATTGGGAATTTTTTAAATGGGAAAAATTGCCTTTTTAAAATATACAGTGATTTTATTATTTTTTTTTTTAAATTTACGAATGTCTATTTTTAGTCATATGTTGATTGTAATGAGTGGAACATTATTAGTGCCTTACGGTTTTACTGTACTGAACGGTTGCTTGGTGATTGCTGCTTCTGCAGTGACGGCTCTGTGCACAGCTTTGCTTACCGTGAAACTCAGTTGCTCCATTTTATACTCTTTTTGAGAGTCTTTTTCTTTCTTTCTTGGTGGAGGTGATTCTTTCATTTTTTGCTAACCCTCGAAAAATTTCAGTGCTTGGGAAAACGATGCCATTAAGCTGATGAGGTACCTGAATCCTGTTCTTGTCTCTTCTCATTCCCATTCCAATTTTTGCCTGTATAATTAGAGCAGGAGACTGAGAATCTATCATCCTGTTCTCAGAATTATGCCCCGGGGTTAGTGTTCACATCCCAAGCTACTCATTAGCCCCTGTACAAATAGAATCAAAACTCCCTGAAATTTAGTTCTAAAATTGATGGCGGCACCGTTCGCCCCAGCCACGGTGTCTGCAAATCTGCGGTTTCAAATTCCAACCTGGATGAGCTTTTTGGCCGGCCGTCTGGGCGCTAGATAAGCTTCTGATGAAAGGTGGGGTGGGAAAGGGACGTCGCCGGGGTCGGGGGGAGGAGAAGCAGGCCCCTGTAACAAATGGCTTCCTGTAAACAGTTGTGTCCCCTCTTGAGAAGTGTCAGATGTGTCGTGAGCGCTGCCAGCGCAAGCTGCCCGCCAGCTTGCATCCGAGTGTGCGGTGGTGCTTTGAGGCCGCCCTCAATTAGCGAGGCGTGCCTGTGACTTCAGGATTGTTTTGTTGTCGTCGTCATCCTGGGGTTTTGGTTCTGTGTGTTTCCTCGAGGTGCTCAGATGGAGACAGGCTTTCAGTCTGATCGTGCCCAAAAGGATCTCACGTGAATAAACTTACTTTGACTTGATCTGGGCTAATTCTTCTGTGTGCTTTATTCCACTCTTCTCAGTGCGGTTCTGCCGAGCGTGCTTCTCTTCCTCCTCACGATAGGCCTGGCTCTAACATCTGCTTTTCACTTAACTGCTGTGAAGACCTGAGCCCTGGCTAACGCTGAACCCGAACCCTCATCCCAGCCTCAAAGGGGACCACGTTCCCGCGTGCTGCGGTTTGGCCCTCTTCTTGATCAGTCTCTCGGGAATCTTTGTGCGAGTCGCCTAACAGAGGTGCCCATAACTGTCTAATGAATGGGCTTAAATAAAGAAGCCAGAACATATACTTGGTTTTATTTATTTGTTGATCTGCATGTCGAAGTCAGGCGCTCTTCCCTTGAAATTAAGTGTGCCACGTGGCTGCTGGCCCTGCTGTGCCTTCTCTCCTGTGGCTTGTTTCTTTAAACACAAATCCACACCTAGGCTTAGCTGTGTTTAAATGGACACAGTGGGGAACTTTGTAATTGTGTTTGTGTTTTATAGTTTACCGTAAATCCAGAGTTGAGCACCATACTGGATTGCTGGAGAAACCCCTGTGCCTGCAACGTTCTGGTCCCTCAGCTCCAAGTAGTTTGATGGTGCTATGATGCTATTCCTCAAGAAAAGCAGCAATTCGTATTTTTACCCCTTTTCTGTCACTTTTTTTTTTTTTTTTTTTTCCTCCCTCTCAAGGAACCCCCCCCCGC